TAATAGTGATGGCTCCATTTTTACACATAATAAAGGGATGTCTGGTACTGTTTTTCTGAGATTAAGGACCCGGCCGGAAGATGATTATGAAGAAGAACAGCAAATATTTTTATTTTTATTTTGTGTTTTTTGGATGAACAGGACCATGGAAGGAAGGGTTATTATAATTAATTGATCTGATGGTGTAGCAATTGATTAAAGATGTTAGATTGAGATTTGAAAAGCAAGATGATCCTCGTACATGATTACGATATGATTACGATGCACATCATTCTTTCATATTTTTTCTGTGTGTTTTATAGGGCATAACATGAATATAATATCCTAATATATATAGGTCAATATTGTGGAAGCACGAGCATCACAAAAAGTTCTAAGCATATCATAATACAAAAAATAATATGTAGATCAAGCCACATAGTATATGTTAGTTATACATCATATAATTTGGGTTACTTTCTTGGAGGCTAAGTCATTAATTTTTGAGTTTATATTCATTTGATCTTTGCTTTTCGCGATCTGAGTATACATATGGTGTTCCACGACATCATAGATAGAATATATTTGAGAAATTTAAATTATCTAATTCTCTTATTTGATTCAATTTAGCTCCAAATATTTTAAATTTGCTAAACATAAGCCATGTTAACCTCAAACGTTCATAAACACGTGAAAAATGACTTTAGAATGGTCTAAAATGGAAGGATATGGCTTATAATAACAAATAAAGTTGTTTAGGTGGAGCAGAGTTGAGAACAGTTGCGTGCAAGCTGCACTCGAGTCATGGTTAAGTCAGATGAACGGGCTAGTGGCTGATTCTTCAAATTGGCTATGACGTAGACTACTAGCGCGAAGTACGTATACAAAATGTCATGGTCATGCTTGTCCAAGGCGTATTGCTTATGATCATGTGTCAAATGTCCCAATTATGCTTGTCTAGGATGTGTTGTCTGTGACCACATACTCATTCCAAACTCTTTTTACTTGATTTCATGTTAAATTAGTCTTTGTTATTCCTATTGTATTAATACGACAGTGCATAACAAGTCACCAAAATCATGTCTAAGCTCGCCAGAGCTAATATTCCCCAAAATATTATAGGGTGATGTGACTAGTTGTCAATTATTCCTACCTTGGTAATATGCCTTCAAAGCTGAAGTTGTTGCTTATTTGTTTTTAACTCATAATATTAATTTTTTTCAAATTTTTTCCAATGCATTTTCTCACTCATGTTTTCTAAAACGCTTCTTTCAAACGTGACTCGAGGCTCGATCATAAGTCACAATTATCTGCAAAGTCTAACTTTCATACAGTTGATTTGTTAGCTAGGTTAGAATAAGTGTTGCACAATGGCTGTCGTGCTGCCACAAGAGTGCAATTGTGACAAGTGATATCAGAGCTGAGTCAGCTCCTTAAATCAGAGTAATCAAACCTGTCTGCTGCAAAATAACTGGGCAAGTCTCAGGCTGAACAATTGGGAAAGATCAAAGGTCACTTGCTCTACTTGAGTGATGTTCTTGATGGAATGGGGCTTTTAGAGTCTCACATGAACAAGATTGCCTCTAACGTCGATAAGATCGATAAAATGGTAGATCGACTTGAAGCAATGCCAGTCCATGAATTAATGGTTAGGGATGAGGCCTTAGAAGACAAGGTCACAACTGCTGTTGGCTTTGAACACGAGGATAGCTCGTTGGGCTCTATTGCTCAAATGAAAGAGCGTATCAAGAGACTAAATAATGCCCAACAAGCAATCAAAATAGTTTAAAAAATTCCTTAGGACATAAGAGTAGCCCTTGGAGTGGTCAAGGCTGAAGTGACGAACTTGAGCGCCAAGCTAAACCTCACTATGAGAGTAGTGGGGAACTAAACTTCAACTGGGGGTGCGGCCTAACATAGCAAGGTGAAGGTCCCGAAGCCTAAGTCCTTCTATGAGGCTTGAGATGCCAAGGCTTTGGAGAATTTTATCTTTGACCTCGAACAGTACTTTCAAGCCACAAATTCCATGGTAGAAGAGGCGAAGGTCACATGGCCATAGTATATTTAGCCAACAATACAAAGTTGTGGTGGAGATCCAAGTACATGGACATTCAAGATAACCGACAATGGGTCCTGAGCACGAGCACGCTCACAAGCAGCAAGAACACAGGCACCTGAGCTTTCCTACTCTACAAAAACTTTACAAGGAGGAGATGGTGTATGGTTTGCCGGCAATCGAAGGTTAGCCTCTCGGCCAGGAGCGAAGAAATATCTTGGAGGTGGCATGCAAGGTACGGGCTCCTGAGCTTTCCTACTTTACAAAAACTTCACATGGAGGAGATGGTGTATGGTTTGTCGGCAATCGAAGGCGTGAAAAGACTGTGCAACGGGTGTCTCATCGGCAAGCAGAAGCGCACCCCCTTTCTGTCTCAGGCATCCTACCATGCGGTGAGTCGTTGGAGCTCATGCACCACGATATCTGCGGGTCCATCAAGCCGACGACCTCAGGCAGCAAGACCTTCTTCATCCTGTTGGTCGATGACAAGAGCCGCTTCATATGGCTAATCCTGCTGCGAGCAAAAAGTGAGGCACTAGAGGTGATTACGCGCATTCAAGCGCTCGCTGAGACCGAATGCAGGAACAAGATGCGAGTGCTGCACACATACTGTGACGGAGAATTCACCTTAGCGAGTTTCCGCAAGTAGTACGACGAGCTTGGCATGCAGCGGCACCTAACGGTGCCGTACTCCCCCTAGCGGAACGGGGTGGTGGAGCGCCAAAATCAAAGGATTGTTGGGACGACAAGATCACTACTGATGACGACTCGGATGCCCAGGAGGTTCTTGGGAGAGGCGGTCATGACGGTTGTCTACCTCCTCAATCGTTTGTCAACGCAAAGTCTTGACGGGAAGACGCCACATGAGGCCTGGTATAACAAGAAGCCAGTGGTACATCATCTCCGAGAGTTTGGCTGCGTCACGTACATGAAGATCATCAATCCCCACCTTGCTAAGCTCGATCCCAGGGGAGAATGAGCTCATGTGTCATATGACGTCTTTGGCTAGAACACCTTCTGGGAGTGGAACGATGTCGCCGAAGTGGACCAGACCCCAATATGGTTCACAGTGGAGTACCTCATCACCGAGCCGAGAGAAGGAGGAGAGCAATATCGGGCATTCTCACCGCTGCCAGTAGCTACACCCTCACACCTACGTCAACACCAACCACAACTCCTGCTACGCCCCCTGAACCAGTGGAGTTTGCAACACCACGTACTGCGGACTCAACGCTGGATGTCGATCATTGATGATCTTCTAGCGGCCAAGTGCTGGAGGATTGAAGACCTACTAGGAGGAGGTGAACCACCAGGACTGGTGGCATGCGAGCTCGAAGAAGAGGTGGCTGAACTGCATGCCATCAGCGCGGATGAACTAAACTCTTTCACTGAAGCAGAAAGGAACTCGTGCTGGCTGAAGGCAATGCAGGAAGAGATGACATCCATCACTGGGAACAAGACGTGGAGTCTGAAGGACATGCTATTAGGACACCGAGCCATAGGGCTCAAATGGGTGTTCAAACTAAAGCGTAACGAAGCGGGAGAATTTGTGAAGCACAAGGCCCGTCTGGTGGTGAAGATTTACGTCTAGAAGCAAGGAGTGGACTTCGAAGAGGTATTCGCGCCAGTGGCAAGGTTGGAATTCGTCCGCCTGTTGCTGGCGATTGCAGCACATTACTCTTGGGAGGTGCACCAAATGGACGTGAAGTCCGCTTTCCTCAATGGAGAGCTGAATGAGACCGTTTACGTTCGACAACTACTTGACTTCCTGGACAACGACAACTCCGACAAGGTACTGCGCTTGCACAAGGCACTCTACGGACTTCAGCAAGCACCCCGAGCCAGGAACGTGAAGCTCAACAGTACCCTGTTGTCGTTGAAGTTCAAGCATTGTGCCTCTGAGCATGACATGTACACGCACGGCCACGACAAGCAGCGACTGATCGTGGGAGTGTACGTTGACGACATCATAATCACTAGAGGTGACATGGAAGTTCTTGGAAGATTCAAGAGGGAGATATCAAACAACTTCAACGATGGTGATGTCGGCGTCTACTACCTCGGCATCGAAGTGCAACAAAGTACTGCTGACATCACCATCTATCAAGGTGCAGACGCAAAAAAGCTGCTGGACACAACTTGGCTAGCAAATAGTAACCCTACAAGGGCACCAATGGAGGCTCGGCTCCAGCTAAGGAAGGTCGGCACTACGACGACAAAATTACCGTAGCATTGTCGGGAGTTCGCGCTATTTTGTAAACACACGCCTTGACCTCGCTTATTCCGTTGGATACGTAAGTCGATTTATGGAAGCACCTAGGGAGGAGTATCTCGTGGCTGTGAAGCACATCCTGTGCTATGTAGCCGGAACCAGAAGCTTGGGTGTGAAATACTGTGCAGGTAGAGGACAAGTGAAGCTTGAGCAGGTCGACTATAGTGATAGTGACATGGCCGGTGGTTAATGATAGTAAGAGTACCAGCAGGATGATTTACTTCCTCTCAGGCGGCGTGATCTACTGGCAATCAACTAAACAAAAGGTAGTTTCTCTGTCCTTTGCAAAACAGAGTACATCGCCGCTTCGACGGCGGCCACATAGGGGGTTTGGCTTGCACGGCTAATGGAATAACTCATCGGAAGAGAAGGCTATCCATCAATGTTATATGTAGACAACAAAGCTACAATCTCCCAGATCAAAAATCCAGTTTTGCACGTCCGGTGAAGGCACATAGAGATCAGGTTCCATTACATCTGGGAGTGTGCAAATCGGGGGCTTATTAAGATTGATTTATCCAAACAAACGAACAGCTTGGAGACATCTTGTAATACCTGAATTGTTAGATAAATAAATAAATAAATAAATAAAAATAAAAATAACAACATAGGGAAAAAAGGTCATTTTTCCCCGGGATCTATTGTTTGGGCTCTAAGAAGAAAGAGAAAGACAAGAAAAGAAAGAGAGAGAGAAAGGAGAAAGGAGAAGAAGTTAGGATTTGGGAGAGACGAAGAGTAGGAAGACAAACCACAGTTGGAGATCGAATCCAAGGTAAGAAACTTCGAAGCAATACATCTCTCGATGCTGGAAAAGGAGTTTGGGTGGTGGATTCACTCATTCCGGCAAGAAAATTCGAGAACGGACAAAGTAAGGTTTCGAACTTCTTGTTTCGATTTTATCTAGATATGAGGAGTTTCTTGAGCGTTATATCTGGAGTTTTTGAGGTATGTAACTAAAATAAGATTCACACAGGTTTCTTGAAGTTCCTGGACGAAAATCAGAGTTAGTCGGAGCTCGGGTAAACCGATCGAAAATAGAAAATGTGAGTTTTTCTGTATCTTTGGACGACCTTAACTCATCTTGTGCTCAAGGAAAAAATAAAGGAAAAATATATGGTAGAAGTATAATATGAGATCTATAAGGTTCTTGAAGAAAGTTTATCAAATCGGATTACGGATTGGAAGATAAAAAAAATCGGAAGAAAATAGATTGAAAACGCGAAAGAGGCTAACATCTGGAAAAATTGAAACAAGCAGGAGAGAGGGAAGAGACGCCGCCACGCGTCGGCTAGTATACAGAGGAGCGCGGCGAAACTGGTGATTGACACGTGATGGTCACCAATTGGTGAGGCGTGTCCTCACTCGGTAGCGGACACGCGTCAGGCACGTGGATCCGGGTCGACCCGACCTTGAACCGCACGCGACCCGGGACCGGCAAACCGCTCCGCCCGTGAATCACTCTAACCCGGTGCCTCTGACCCGCGCTGCTCGGGAAACCACGCGTGGACACCCGTGCGTAGGAGTTGCACGTAGAAACCCTCCATAGCACGTATGACACGCGTGTAGGCGCGTGAGTGACCATTTTTCCCTCTGTTCGACCTCCGTTTCGATTCGATTTCAAATTTGATCCTATTTTCATGTGAATTAGAACCTATCAAGGAAATTCCAGAATTTTTGGAACCTTTCCAGCAAATAATTCGAGCTTGGGAATGCACGTGTCAACCAAGTAAGTAATCATTTGGATTTCCACGAGTAGTACTTGTAGGAACCGTCTGGGATAAGCATGCATGCTATCATATCCATAAACTTAGCTAGCCGAACCTAGCATTTTAATATGGGAACCATGAAAATGAAATAAATAAGGAAATCTATGACTTCTAGATATGAATGATTATGTAATCTGTTTAGATTGAGATTCTGATAATATATGTATGCATGAAGAGGATGAGAAACTTATGAAATCTGCGCTCTAGGTGAAGATGAACGTTATCTACCCATTGAGCATGTTTGTTAATATTGCATGAACTATTGCGTGTTAACTTCTATGTATGATTATTGCTTGTGTTATCTTTCTTGATAAATAGGAAGAAATTGTGAGCTTAGATTAGGGTGCTTGTGACTAAGTAAGCTAGACGAGACCCTAGATTGGGAGGCCTCTAGAATACCGTGCATTTAGGCTCGCAAAATGATTACTGGCAGATCCGGAGCCCAAAATTCCAAACCTTAAAGGTTTGTGAGACCTTGCACGAGAATCCTAAAGATGCATGAATCCAAGTCTAAGCCACCAAGTTCCACCTTAGAAAGAATAGTAGGTCACCACGGTAACTGTAGGTAGCCTGCTAGAGTTGAGTAGTGTGGATAGTGTCATCAAAACCTCCACTTCCCCCTCTGCTCCGATACCGTACCGTCGAGATAGAGCTCCGGTACGGAGATCGTTGAGCTTGGCAAATCTGAATAGGGAAGTGTGATAGGGCCCAAACCTAGTGGTGATAGCTAAGGGGGTCTTCTGAACAAGACTCTTGGGTCGTAGAAACCCGTCCCTGAGCGGGGGACGTGGAGCCATGTAGGATGACTTAGTAGCTGACCGGCACACAGGGGGTCGCACCCTGGATTTAGAGGATGTATGGTCTCGTGTGAGGATTGTCAGCTAACCTCCACAAATGCTGTTCAGAGAGAGTCACGTATTTAAATCCAGCCATACAATCCCCTCAGATTTACTTATGAGGTTGCGCCTAACCTCAGGACACTAATCATTCCACTGCATAAGATGGACAAGCCTCCGAAGATACAGAAAAGAGAGTTGTAACGTGATTCGCACTCACTAGAGCCCTAAGATAAGACCGTGTATACCTACTAAGATAATGATACGAAAAGATCCTACAAGTAGGTTGCTTACTGAGTATATTTTTATACTCACCGCTTTCTCCCTTTTTTTTTTTCAGGTACCAGTCGATACGGGGAGGTGATCGAGAGCTGCACTGTCACAGAGGGGTGTCATTCCGGAGCGTCAGTCTCTTGTCAGTCTTTGAGGGTCTTTTGTATTTCATTTTATATTTGTAATTCCTTTTGTAATAATTTAAAACAAATCTTTTCTCTATTTTTTTTTTTAATTAAATGGTATTTTTATCTTTTACTCTACTTTTCTTTTCTTTTATTTTGTTTTTGTTTGTTTTCGACTTCGTCTTTTTAGTCACGATTCGGTTTTTCGAAGCCTTGAAAATCAGGTCGTGACACATATTCACCAAGTCTCTTGTGCAAGTAAAATTTGAGAAACTTTACTCAAAGATCGGAGTTCAAATAATAACGTAGATATACCACCAATTTTAGAAGGAAATTGTTAGATAAAAACGTGTATATTTTCTTTATTTAAGTTATTCATATTTTCCTTATAATGAGTTAGTTGAATCTTGTTTTTAGGCAATCAGGGCACACATACAATAGAATTGCATATTTTTATCTATTGCATATTTTTAGGTGGTCATGTTTATAGTGGCACAAATTTAGTTGGCAACTTTCCATTTTTAGTGTGATTTGTTATTTAAATATGCTCATGAGAAACAAATCGTCTTTAAAGAATCTCAATGCTGTCTTTTGTCTCTCTCTTGTGTTTTTTCTTTTATTTTCTTATTCCAACATTTTTCTTCTTCTATTTTTTCCTCCGTCAAGGTTTTCCAACGATTTGTCAGTCAAAAGACATCATTCAAGAGGTTTAAAATCCATGTTGAGAAAGAGAAAAATACACAAATTAAAAGTCTACTTACTGACCGTGGGGGGAGTTCACATCTCAGTAATTCAATAATTTTTGTGATAATAATGGCATAAAAAGACACTAATAGCTCCATACACATCTTAACAAAATGGAGTAGCGGAGAGGAAAAACAGAACCATTATGAATATGGTACATAGCATGTTTTTAGAAAAGAAACTTCCCAAAAGTTTTTAAAGTTTTTGGACTGTAGCGGTAAATTGGACAGTGCATGTTTTGTCTCGAATTCCAACTTTAGCTGTTAAGAATAAAACTCCGGAAGAAGCTTGAAGTTGAGTATTTTAGAAATTTTGGGTGTATTTCTCATGTACATGTACCAGATAGTAGAAGAAAAAAGTTGAATAATAAGAGTTTAACTTGTGTCCTACTAGAAGTAGGTGAGGAATTAAAGGCTATCAACTTTATGATCTTGTTTCACAAATGATTATAATAAGTTGAGATGTCATATTTGAAGAAAACAAAAGTTGGGAATGGGATGAGAAGCATAAAAAAGAAGCTATGTGTGACTTGGAATTGGAAAATCATGAAAAAGAGACGAATGAGATTAATGACGGTAGAAATGAACATAATATTGATGCAAATCTAGAAGAGGAAGATATTTCTTTAGAGGAAGATATTTCCTCTAGTTCTTTAGAGGAAAAAAGCTCATCTAGTTCGGAAGAAAAGAGGAGTAGGAAGACACTGATTTGGATGCAAGACTATGAAACAGGAGAAGGAATCTTAGAAGAGGAGAATGCAGCTCAATTAGCCCATGCTCACATTTGCAGGTGATCCTACTCGATTTGAAGATGCTGTAAAGAGTGAGAAATAGAGAAAAGCCATGGATGTAGAAATAGAAGCAATTAACAAAAAAGATACTTGGGAACGGACAGAATTAACAGAAAATGGAAAGATTATTGGAATGAAATGAGTTTACAAGACCAAATTTAATGAAAACAGAGAAATAGACAAGCACAAGGCAAGGTTAGTAGTGAAGGGATATTCTCAACAACAAGGTATAGATTATACAGAAGTATTTGCTCTCCTGTGGCAAGAATGGAAACAATTCGTTTGGTGGTGGCACTTGCAGCTCAAAGAGGATGGTTCATATATCAGTTAGATGTGAAGTAGTTAGATGTGAAGTCTGCATTTTTATATGGTGAGCTGAATGAAGAAGTGTTTATTTCTCAACCCTGTGGTTGGAGCTTGCTTGGTACAGTCATCTAGAAGCTCATTTTGTGAAGGAAGGTTTTGAGAACTGTGATTATGAACTCACTCTTTTCATCAAGGCTAGAGAAGATGGTAAGATTTTGATCGTAAGTTTGTACGTTTATGATCTCATTTTTACTTGAAATGATAATGTTCTGAATTTAAGAAGTCCATGAAGCATGAGTTTGATATGACTGATCTTGGCAAAATTAGGAATTTTATGGGTCTTAAAATACTGCAGAAATGTCACGACCAAAAAAATTTTCCTCAAGTCGTGACTTATTAAGACTATGACGTATAGTGTGTGTGCAAGAAATTCAAAGGAAAACATCATTTCAAAAATAAATAATTTATTTTATAAGAAAAGCGTTTCAATACAAAGAGAACATAGGTGACTAGTTTTAGACAAAGAAAGAAAACATGAAGGACAAGTGCACTAATCGGTAAAACTGGACTGATGCCCTGGGACACGCTTCCTCTATGACAATCCACATCTTTTAACGCACCCACTCTTGACCCAACTCCTCACGTACCTGAAAAAGAAAAGTATAACAATAATAAGAATAAAACTATACTTAGTAAGCCACCTACTTGGTGGCTCTTATCGCATCCTGAACTTAACAAATATCCACAGACTTTTCTTTGGCTCTAGAACATCTAGTTCTAGTCTTAGCTCCTTGGGGATTGCCCCTTGGGGTTTCTTTGGGGTCTTCGTACTTTCATTTAAGCCTTAAGAGTTCCCTTATGCTAACCTGTGTTTGACTGGTGCCCTACGAGTGGCTACCTTGGCATGGCTATGAGATTATCTGGGGTTTTACCTAGGAAGTGAACTGCAACCCCCTAGTCCCTTGGTAATCCCCCTATATTTGGGAGGGCTACCTCCCCTATCCCATCCAGCTAAATGGTCAGTTACGACGTGGGTCTCCCGTTTCCCATGCAAAAATGGCTATCGAGCAGTCGAGTCCTGATCAGGAACCTGCTGGTCCTCACGAAGTTATTAACATCATTCACACACAAGTAGCCTAAGGGTACTCTAGAGGTGGTTCGTTTGTCGTGGTAGTTTCTTAGGCTCCTAGGGAAAGGTTAGGTCTATACTTAGTTACTTGTCACTCTAACTACAAATCCCTGTGGGTCATG